CCAGTCATGGCAGGCAAGGCGGTGAACCGACCCCACCCGAACCTTTGCGAACTTACCCGAGCTCCTAGCACTCTCTTCGTCGACGCTACCGACGTCGTCGTCGTCGTCGTCGCCACCACCGCCACCGCTGTTGCTGATGTCACCGCCACCACCGCTGTTGCTAATGTCACCGCCACTGCCACCGCTGCTATATTGCCGATATCACCACCACCGCCGTTGCTGATGTCACAGCCACCGTTATCCTTGCTAATAGCATCGGCAGCATGACCTCTACTATATCCGAGGTCATTGCCATTGCTGTCACTGTCACGGATGTAACCACTGTCTTCACCACCAACACCACTGTTCTTCTTTGTCACGACTATGTACTATTGCCTCTGCCACTTGTTGTCACTTCCGCACCACCACTATTTGTCACCTGCCACTGTAACACACAACCACTGAAACAACTGCTACTGCCGCTACCATTGTTGTTACTTACCATTGCTGCAACCATCCATTGTTACAACCACCTCTGCAACCACTGCACTCACCACTTCATTCAACATCACCAACACTACAAACAGCACCATCACTGTGTTCACAGTCACCACCTGATATTAAAAACTATGTTAACATAACCTATTATATTTTAATAACCAAAACCTAACATAACCGCAACAATTAAGAACGAACACTGTTGAGTTTTGAGCGATTTTGTAGAAAGTACAAATTTTCTTACTATGTACTACTTGCAGATCCAAACCGAGGAAACTTGTTTGCAAATTTTTCTTCTACCTTGTTCGTTTCAAAGTCGACCCTATAAATTATGTATCTTGTTAAAGTACCCTTTTTATCCAGCTCACTGACACCTTATTGCTTCTTTCGTGCAAGTTGAATTTCACGAAACGATGCTGCGTTTGATACCATTTTTCACGGAAAAGAAGTGAGCTGCAGTCACAAAACGCAGTATGTACGTTCAAGCCTGTTACAACGGTCGAGGCAGGTGCGCGCGTGATTTCTTTATAGCCGCGGGTGAACGATAAGTTATGATAATATATGCGCCTGCCACTGTCCAGTTCGATTTCTGTATTCAATTACTATCTGGGCAAAAATTCGGGTACCCTTATTAGTTGATAAGCGAACTTGCTTTTGCCCCATTATCGTGATCATTACGGAAAAATATTTCCTACGTTATTGGTATAACTAGATTTTTTATGGGGTGGGTTCCGTTATAGATGTTACAAAGAATTCATCTCCTAATGAGGGCTGCCATACAGAAACGAGACGAAGGTGAAAAAATTTCAATGTTCTTAATTGGAATAAAAGGAAGAAATAATATAAATAACAAGAAGTAACCGATCGAAAAGAATTTCTGTATCGGGTAAAATATAACCTCGCTATAACAATGCACGTGATCGCATTATGTCGGTATTAATAACCTCAAATGGCGAACCGATTATATCTACTTGTTCTAAGTTAATTATTGCGAAGATAACGAATTCTATTTATATTTATATATTTTTAGATTTCCACATAAATAAATTCAGTCGTGTGGTATTTTATCGAACAGTAAAATACACAAAGTTGCACGGAATAATTGCGAATCGTTACGAAGTAGGAAAAAAGAACGAAAAAGCGGAAATAATAAAATTGAGAAAGTGCTACTATTATGTAGTAAACACGATAACAAAATTATTGCAACAAAACAAAGTTATTGCATGTTCAATTGAAAATTATCTTTATAACGCGTATTTGACAGTAGCGTTTACTTGAGAATCTCTCGAGACACATATACGCATTTTCGAATATATACAAAATTAAGGAAAACTATAGCAAATATTCGAAATTTAATTACATAGTTTGCATTAGTAAGTTACTGGTGTAAATAATTAAGAAGTAATTGTACCTTTATAGGTCTTATTATAAATCGAAAATTTTGCAACCGTAGTTACTTGAGAATCTCTCGCGACAGATATACACATTTTCGAATATACATAAAATTAAAGAAAACCACAGCAAATATTGGAAATTTAATTACATAGTTTGCATTAATAAGTTAGTGGTATGAATAATTAAGGATTAATTGTACCTTTATAGGTCTTATAATAAATCGAACATTTTGCAACCGTAGCTACTTGAGAATCTCTCAAGAAATTTTAACTTGCACACAAAATTCGCAATAATACCGGCAAATATTAAGTATTTAATATCATATTTTGAATTAGCAAGTGATATTATTCATGTCAGTAACAAATAAAATGTATTGAAACACTTTTTAATAATTAATTTTATTGCTTACCGCTTTCGGCGTCCTCTTGACACGAAGCACGTTGTCACCACGCTTTCAAAACTATAAGAGAGGGGGAACTCTTCTTGTTGCACTATGAACAGTTCCTCGTTTTGCCACCAGAATGGCGCTACGTTATGAAAGTTGAATTTCAAACACTAAACAATTTAAATTTTATTCAAATAAAAGATATAATATTGTCATGAATAATAGTGAAAAAAATAAGAAAAATCTCGTAAAACTGCATATTAGTTATGAGCGTTCATCGTCACTTTTTATATCGCAACACCGTTAGTCATGATTAGTATATAAAACATACTCCTCTCAATAAGATGATTATCCAGGGGTTTTTAGAACTGCATACGACCGTCTAAACTGTCTTGCAGAGACATCTACATCGGGATTGATGTTTAAGAGAATCTTAACTGCGCTATGTCGGTAAGGATAAGTGTCTGCGGTATCGACGAGTAATGTAGATATCTTACTTCAAATTCATTCCTCTTTAATTGTATAATTGTACAATTGTAACCAAACATATTAAAAATCTAACACATCCTAAACACCCTCATCGCCTCTTGTAAATATTTTATTTTGTATAAAAATTACAATTAATATTTAAAAAGAAATCATACAAAACAGTGTAAAAATTAATTACAAACAGCTCTAAAAGATCACATCCTACAATAAGTTAATACTACACAGAAAATCTAGCAGCATGTAATACTTCCAAAGTTCCTGTTTTCCATCGGTTCATTTAGTATTAAAGCATTTCGAAAACTTCCGTCCCGTTGTGCCACGATAACAAGATGTCCTTAATTGCAGCAACACTTCCTCCAACAACGACGTTAATTCCGTATTGTTGTTGTCCCTGAGCTTGCCACTCGTTACCGCGCTGAAAAGAGGCGCTTTCTTTAAGTTGCTCAAAGTTTCCGGTCGTTACGGTGGAATTATTAATTAAGGCGCAAAGTGGTTGACCGCCTCGCGAAACTTCTTCGCGGTCGGCGGTAATAATTTCGCTCACCTATCGCGCGAGTTCGAAGCCAACAGAAACAACGCTTCCCGCAGCCTCGCCGGGATGCCCGAGGATGATTCACGAAAATAACGTTCGTGATAACCGAACGTAATTTTTGTGGGAATACAACGCCTCGAGTTCAGCAGCGAACTTAACCGAGGATGTAGCCAATTGCTGCGAAAGATTCGGTGTGATGTCAGCCTTTCTAAATGACCCACGAACTCCGACTGCTTCAGCAACTGACGAATGTGACCCTGAATGCACATCACTCTTATTTCTTGCTTTTCGACAGATATTTGTGTCGTCAGGAATTAATTACGATCGCTGACGATGCGAGTTGCGATCTGGGACACGGAGTCTCATTATGGGAACTCATTCTCATTACTGTTAGGTAGCTAGCTTAGGCTGGGTTTAAAGTGAACTGATTTTAAGAACGCGGGGAAGACTTATGTAACCCGAAATTCAAAATCTCATCTTGACAAGAATATTTGCTGATAATTTTATTTGTTGGCTAAATGTCTAGAGCTATTAATCCGCAGCGATTGTTGTTTTTGACCAGTTTGGGATAATATGTAAGATATAATTTCGTAGAGAGCGTACCATCTTCTCGAGGCCTTGGATGTCATTGACCGCGAGGCCGATCATCAGGTTCATCAGGACGATACTAGCAAGCATGACGAAAGCAAGGAACACGACCCTGCTCGTGGCTGGTAGGAAGGAACTCCCATTCTTCTCGTCCGAGAACAGCGCCCCGTACTCGTACTCACCCATCATCATTACCACGGTCTTCACGACGGCCCTCCAGGAATTGCGAAACTGGTCGTTCCCGTGGAACAAAACGGCGAAGCTGAACGCGAATCCGACAATCAGGCAGACGAACGCTAGGAGAACCTGAAAGGAAATAAAAAGCCCCAGATGCACGTTGTTATAATCGCGAGGGTGGCAGGTTGCCGCGGCCGAGCATAGGGGTAGGCAAGTGGGTCCTGATGGCTGCCGTATCACCGAGAAGAGACATTTAGAACCTTGGTCCTCTTCCCCGGCTTTTCATTTCTAACGATATTCGTCGAAGGATAAAGCCTTCTCTCACCTTTCCTCTCCGACTAAATACGGATCGTCCGTGACACGGACAGGAATTGAAAAAACCACCCTCGACGCGTTAAATCAGGGTTAACGTTTGTCCTCCGCTGAAAACGTTTTACGTAGTCGAACGTGTCGCGGTTTTTCATTCACGCGTATTGAAGCTCGACTTCGTAACGAGGAAAATTGGGAGTTCTTTTCATCGATGTTCCTCGTTACTTTCGCTTTCTATCTCGATCGCGAGACGAACACGGATAACTGCAATTATACAATATAATTGCTCGGTGATCGCGACTGACCTTAAGGATGTTCTTTAGCACCGTGGAGAACATGAGCGCGTAATATCCGCACGTTGGGAGACGGCCAACTAGCAGCATCATTTGCATCCAAGAAAGCAAGATTGCCAAGCTGATGGAATGCAACACCCACTGCGGACGATGTTCCGTGGGGTTTAATTCTTTTCCCCTTGGCTGCCTCGTGATATCCGTGTGGCCACTGTCTGTGGAAATCATCAACGATAGCGTTGCGCATGCAAACGAGAGCCATGTCTCGAACTGCCTTAAGTAATATCTGCAAAAACATTTCTTACATTACATATCGACGATCATTATTTCAAACTACTTCAGATTTATGGTCGGTACTGAAATGTTGGCAATATTCTATTCACAATATTTGCAGGATTCTAACATATTGATCGTTTGAGGACTAAGGTGAATATAATCATGGGAATACAGAGTTTTATACTATAAGCGTATACATAGTTTAGCGAGGAGCTGCAGCCTCATTTTTCATTTTCCACAATCGCGGATGAAAAAGTCCCAAACAGAGAAGATTCGTAAACTGACTATAATGAATGACTGTGCATCTATTTTTTTGTTCACAATTATTTTCCAAATATATTAGCAAGGTTTGTCGACTCCGTCGCTAAATGCCTTATTAAGAACAACTTATTCTAAACGTGCGATAAAACAAATTGCAGTTAAGTATCGAACCTTGGCACCATTAACACCTGCGCCATGTTGTGGAAGAGAAGCACACACGAGCACGACGCTAGAATCCTTCGTAACAGCGTGCAATCAGTCTCATGCTGCAGCATCGCTATGGAATAACCAGAGAGGGAAAGGACCAGTAGGGCGTGGATGAAAACGAGACTAAAGAAGAACACTCTCAGCTTGGACCACTTTAACCAGAGAAACGTTTCCACCAACGGATGTTGCAGTATCGTCAATTGTTTCTCGTCTGAAGCCGCTGCAATGAGGGACGTAACAACTCCCATTTGCAGCTCCCCTTTTGGCGCCAGTATGTTGAAGTCAACGATGATCTTCGACAGGAAAAAGAATAAGAGCTAGAATACATTTACGCTATAATATTGCTCCTGTTCGAGTTTTTTGAGTGCAGTGCAACATATGTGAAATTTGGTGATATAGGTTTGGAGGTTGTGTGGATCATTATAGGTATTGGGATTATAGAGATTTAGGATTATAGCAACTCGATTATTGTCTCAGATGCCAGTCTAAGAAGTCTAAGGTTATAGGGAGTTATAAGGACCTGCAAGAAAATTTACAAAAATCTAAGATTATAGGAATTTAGCAAAATCCTCCTGCAAACCCCAAACTCAAACCCCTCGACTCAACTTCAAAATAATTATTTTACTCTTCCTCACATGCGAGTTCCTATCAATGGTATGACCGTTCATGCACACTCGCGAGTCCAAAATGTCGTTCAGAAACGCCACTGGCCTCGAAGTGTTAGCGAATATGGCGTCGATAACGGTGACCCCGGTTCTCGTTTCCGCAGCGAGATTACCACCATGTTCGATCAACGTCCGCACGCATTCGTCGTGGCCTTGGTAAGCGGCTCTGTGAAGCGGCGTTCGATTGATCTGAATTTAAGGAAACGAGGATTAAGATAATAAGCGCGAAATAATCGCGAGGTAGATTTGGGAGTTACGTTATCTCGAACGTCGACTTGATCGGGAGGTGTGTTTTCCAAGAGAAGAGAAAGAGTTTCCAAGCTACCCATACTGGCGGCGAGGTGCAGAGGGGTACTTCCTGTGCTCTTGCACCGATAAAGAGGCCATGCACCGGCGTCTAATAATATTTTTGTTGCTGAGGGACTTCCTAATGATGCTGCGTAATGTAACGCTGTTGTACCTGTGATTGTAACGAGCTGTTAGAGTAATTATTGTAACCTGTTATAAGGAAGTAACTATTGTAACCTGGTATAAGGAAGTAACTATTGTAACCTGTTATAACAAAGTAACTATTGTAACCTATTATAATGAAGTAACTATTGTAACCTGTTATAATGAAGTAACTATTGTAACCTATTATAACGAAGTAATTATTGTAATCTATTATAACAAAGTAACTATTGTAACCTATTATAATGAAGTAACTATTGTAACCTGTTATAATGAAGTAACTATTGTAACCTCTTATAATGAAGTAACTATTGTAACTTGTTATAACGAAGTAACTATTGTAACCTGTTATAACAAAGTAACTATTGTAATCTATTATAATGAAGTAACTATTGTAACTTGTTATAACGAAGTAACTATTGTAACTTGTTATAACGAAGTAACTATTGTAACCTATTATAATGAAGTAACTATTGTAACCTCTTATAATTAAGTAACTATTGTAACCTCTTATAATTAACACTAGATTGCCTAAGGCAGTCATTTTGACTGCTTTTCAATTTCAATTAGAAAAACAATTGTGTATAGAATGACACAGCTTCTTAGAAGTTTGTGACTTTTTGTACAACATATAAATGCGTTTATTAATAATTGTAGTTACCTCCCCACTCCTTCATTTCCGGTATATATATATGTGTTATACCTATATTGCCCCAAAGCAGTCAAAATGAATCAAAGTTTCAGTCTTTCTAGTGTTAAGTAACTATTGTAACCTGTTATAATGAAGTAACTATAGTAACCTATTATAACGAAGTAACTATTGTAATCTATTATAGTGAAGTAACTATTGTAACCTATTACAACGAAATTATGAGCTTGTTTCTTTTATCGTGTCTGAAGCTACGTACCTGTGTCAGGGTGCACCGCGTTCGTCGAAGCTTTTCCGTCCACAAGACACTCGACTATACGAACGAATTTCGACATCTCATTAGAATCTTCTTGGGTTACCGTAGACCCTGCCAGAAGCAGAGGTGTAATTCCACGCTCGTCTTGCGCGTTCGTGTTGGACCCGGCCTTCACCAAAATCCTGACCACTTCCGAGTGATTGTTCTTCACCGCCTGGTGTAGCGCTGTCCTTCCCCAACATTCTGGCGTCGGCAACTGGTGGTGATTTTACTGATCAGTCAAAAATGAAACCGTCTAAAAGTTTACACAAGTTTCATGTATTCGTGTGAATCGTATACTTGTTGCTACACCTGTAATTTTCTTTAAATCCTATAATCTTGTTACTGTGAAGATTGCGGGACTGTGTAAGCCTATACGTAATTACATTATGAAACTATTTCTTCTGGTTCATTTGGTTGTCCAATTCTGATTAGATTTAAAAAATGACACTTCTCAAAGATTAAAAGATTGTGGGACTATGTAAGCCTATACCTAATTTAATTATGAAACTATTTCTTCTGTTCCATTTGGTTCCCCAAAGACTTCTGATTGGGTTAAAAAAATGAAACTTCTCAAAGATTAAAAGATTGTGGGACTATGTAAGCCTATACCTAATTTAATTATGAAACTATTTCTTCTGTTCCATTTGGTTCTCCAAAGACTCCTGATTGGGTTAAAAAATGAAACTTCTCAAAGATTAAAAAAAATGACTATCTTATAACAATAACACAAATAATTTTTAATCGATTTCTTCTAAATCCCCGTAATTTTTTGATACTAACGTCTCGACCGATATCGAAGTACTGGCTAACGTTCGACGAAGGCAAGATTTTGAAGCACGTATCAATGCCAACTCTGACATCCGTGTTGGCTCCATGTTCCAAAAGCCAAGTCACCACCTCACTGTCCCCGCGATGCGCCGCATGAAACAACGGAGATCTCCCGATTTTGTCCACGGCATTAATATCAGCGCCATTTTTGTAGAACAGGTCTAGCAACTCTATTCTGCCTCGCCAGGCAGCTAGCTGAACCGCGGTCACTCGAAGAATTCCAATAGGTTGCAGAAATCGTACATCAAACTTTTCGGTGAATATACGCGTTGCCGATTGCACATCGTCGTTTTCGATGGAGGATATCAACTGAATTAGACGGTTGTCATAAACAAGCATTTTTGAAGCGCTATGTTACGCGTAGACCTGTTTGCTTTGTACTGAGGCACAATCAAAAGCGCAGGTTCGGTAATCACGGGATGTGGTTAATTTGTACTATCGCACTTAAAGAGCCTTGAATTTGAAATAAAGTGGGCCAGGTTTTGGAACAATTCAAGTTCTAATTCCTAAAGCGTAAAATTGACGACAATAGATACTTATCTAAATTAACATCTCAAAGTTTAGGGAAGCTAAATGGAAGTTGTGAACTATCGATTTTCCAAATTGGAATTTCTGAGGGGGGTTTTGAGCTTACTTGTCACTGAACTAAGTTCCGAGTACGAGTTTAGACTAAGCTTCCAACTTCATAGCTCAACCATCGAAATTCTCGAGCCACCTGTTTAAGTTGGACATTTAAATAATTCTGATCCGTTTCGAAAGGTCTTGACCAGTAATCCCTAACTTCGAATCGCATTCAGAGCTCCGTTACTTGCGCAACCCGGTTATTCAGCCGATCTGAATGCTCATGAACAGCCCTGTACTTGGCTGTGTAACGAATCTGACAATGGCTAACGGGATTGGCTGGCTACTATCATCGTAGGAGACCAATTCATCGAACCGTTAGCAGTCGCAAGCACGATTCACACGTACACGCAACACCTGAGACACTCGGTTGCAAGTTCAGGTGCACCCACACGCACGCACACGTCTCGTTTCGTGCTGACGCGACCTTAACACGCGGCTCTCGCGAGCGCACACACTCACACACGTACAACGACGTTAACACACGTTCACGTACGCTCAATCAACTGGAGAGTATCGCGTTACCTTGCAGAACTCGGGCCCAGTACGCGCTTGACCACGCTACGGAGAGGATCCCGTTCGCTTCAACTCGTTCCAACTACTTTCATCATGCCCAACTGTCCAAAGTGCGACAAACCTGTCTACTTCGGTGAGTTTTCTCTATCACTTGTTAGGAAATTTTTAAGTATCGGCTGTTATCGATTAGAGATAGGTTGATGTCGGCTAGGAATGTTGGCGGAAGTTTGTGGAATTTGTTAGAGACAGAATAATGTGGTGAACTTGTGTTAGGGTCAAGCTTGCAGATATACAAAATGACTGTCATCTCCGAATAATATTACAATTTAACTGATAAGTATTTTTGGACATGATAAAATCAAGTCCGTAATCTTTTATTCAAGACAGGTCTTTCTTTGGAACTCAGTTTTGAAGATCATGAAAATTATTTTGTCAGTATTGTTGCTCAAGAATTTTATGTGTAACATTTATTATCAGTACACGTATGAAATAAAGTCACGTTTATAGATAATCGGGAAATAATCTGAATTAGTATAAAATAACATCCGTGACCTTGAGATATCGAATCTTCTTCGCTAAGAAGTTACGTAATTAATGTCAAAACAATTTTAGCAGTGATAGGCTAAGGTAACGATAAATATGCAGTATCGTTAAAACGAGCAAAAGTTGTGTACTTGAGTATAGTTGCAGTAACTACAAAACAGTGTAAAGTAGTTACCATACAAACCTTCTTCCCTTCTCTTTAAAAACTTTTCATGAAAATTCTAAAGAAAATCAAAGAAATTCTTGATGATATTCCACATGAAATACAGTAGTCAGAAAATCTCGCAGCAGTTAAAATGTATCACATCAACGAGTCCACATGTTTTTTTGTGTCATGACTCAACATGTTAATTAACGAGGGGAGTGTTAATCGACAATTATAGATATTGTTCAATCGTAAACGCATGACTCATTCACCTACTTCTTTTCGCAATTTCATCGATCACGAGAAGACGTTCACTCGTGCGATCCTGTTGGAGGAAATTCTCATGATGTTCAAGTCTATTACGAAACTAGTGTGCGTGAAATGACGACACCAATGATGTCATTGCACGTCCTCGCGGTCCACCTTGAGGAATATTATGTCAGCCATTCTGTAGCTTGAAACGTGAACATCGGGTAATAGAAGACTAGGAAGGAAATTTTAAATAATTCGATGCTAGTTTCTAATGTGGTGTTTAGGTGACGGTGTGCCTATAAGACACCTTCGTAGGAAGTCTCAGTCTTAATCTGGAAACAATAATATTAGGAATTTGCAGGGATGGAAATTTGGAGATATTCGGTAGAAATGTGGGACCTTAGGAATGTCGAAACATTGGGGAATTTGGGAGCTTAGGAATTGGAGACCTTGAGAATTTAGGACTTTAGGAATTAGGGATCTTAGGCACTTGGGACCTTGAGAATTTTAGATTTTAGGAATTTGGGATCTTGAGAATTTAGGACTTTAGGAATTAGGGACCTTAGGTACTTGAGACCTTGAAAATTTTAGTCATTAGAAATTAGGGACCTTGAGAATTTAGGACTTTAGGAATTAGGGATCTTAGGCACTTGGGACCTTGAGAATTTTAGATTTTAGGAATTTGGGATCTTGAGAATTTAGGACTTTAGGAATTAGGGATCTTAGGCACTTGGGACCTTGAGAATTTTAGATTTTAGGAATTTGGGATCTTGAGAATTTAGGACTTTAGGAATTAGGGATCTTAGGCACTTGGGACCTTGAGAATTTTAGATTTTAGGAATTTGGGATCTTGAGAATTTAGGACTTTAGGAATTAGGGACCTTAGGCACTTGGGACCTTGAAAATTTTAGTCATTAGAAATTAGGGACCTTGAGAATTTAGGACTTTAGGAATTAGGGATCTTAGGCACTTGGGACCTTGAGAATTTTAGATTTTAGGAATTTGGGATCTTGAGAATTTAGGACTTTAGGAATTAGGGACCTTAGGCACTTGGGACCTTGAAAATTTTAGTCATTAGAAATTAGGGACCTTGAGAATTTAGGACTTTAGGAATTAGGGATCTTAGGCACTTGGGACCTTGAGAATTTTAGATTTTAGGAATTTGGGATCTTGAGAATTTAGGACTTTAGGAATTAGGGACCTTAGGCACTTGGGACCTTGAAAATTTTAGTCATTAGAAATTAGGGACCTTGAGAATTTAGGACCTTAGGAGTTTAGGACCCTGAGAACTTAAAAATTTCCATAATTGTAACTTTAGGATCTCAGGATATTTGGAATTTGGCAATCTGGATGTTAGGAGTTCAAGAATATAGAAATTTAATATTTTAGAAACTTGGAAATGTGAACATACAGAAGTTAGGAACCCTGAAAGTAGGACCTAAATTTGTACACAAATAAACTTGGAGCGAAACAATTCTTAGAATACCAAGAACGAAACAGTTCTCAGTGTAGTCAATCCACAAACAATTCTCATAGTTCACAAAGTCAGCGTAATAGTCGACGACGACGGTAGTCGTTTCGTTATCGACGAGGGTACGCGATTCCCGTCATCGACGAAGAGTCCAGCAAAGCGTCCTCCGATAACGTTATCGGCGGCCAATCGCGCGTTACGCTTCCCCTTTCGGCTTTCAGATAAACGGGGCCAAACGGGAACAGCCGCGGCCGAGGAGGACGATAGCTCGCGTTCCCTTCGGGCGAGTTCGCGCTGAGCCATCGTATTCAGAGGAGAGGTTCGCTTTTAATTGCGCGCTTCCTCTTTCGAGCGGCTTTTTAGACGGCCGTTAAAGCACTATTAGTGCTGAAAGCGGATTTTTCTGAATGCGAGCCGTGCGGCTGCCACGTGCATACGTACGATGGTATGCTTTCAGATCGGCGCAAGTAGGCGTGCGGAGATATAGATGCCGGGGCAACGGGCGAATTAGAGGGACGACACTCTTTTCCTTGTATCGCGGGAAAACTTTTCAAAGAGGAAGGGTCATTGGCCTCTAAACGCGCCTCTCGTGAATCAACCTGACTGCGTGATCCGAGAGCATGCGAGCATTTAGCGATTGCGCGGAAAAAACTCGTTGATCCCCCTTTTATGTCTTTTAATTAGTTTATGCAGCTTTATGTTTGCTCATTGCACGAATTAACGCTTATGTCGATAACACTCTGCAGATTACAAATCAGAATTGTAGTTATGCAAAGACTTTGGTGTTTCTTTACTGTGTATTGCGCCTCTGGAGCCCCTGGCGCGGTGAGATATCAAGACTCCCAAACTTTACAGTCGTATACTTCTGAAATTTCTAACTCGTCAAGTTCTACACATCTGAAAATCGACAACTTCCTTTCAAAAACTAATAGAAAAGAAAATTGCAGTCTAGCTCTTCTCTTACGTCATACTCCTCCTTCAGAGTCCCTAGCGCAGTGAGATATCGAGACTCCCAAACTCCACAATCTTATACTTTCGAAATTTCTAATTCGTCAAGTTCTAAACATCTAAAAGTCGACAACTTCCTTTCAAAAACTGATGAGAAAGAAAATTGCAATCTTGCTCCTCTCTTACGTCATGTTTCTCCTTCAGAGCCCCTAGCGCAGTGAGATATCAAAACTCCCAAACTCCATAATCTCATACTTTCGAAATTTCTAACTCGTCAAGATCTAAACATCTCAAAGTCGACAACTTCCTTTCAAAAACTGATGAGAAAGAAAATTGCAGTCTTGCTCCTCTCTCACGTTATGCTCCTCCTTCAGAGCCCCTAGCGCAGTGAGATATCAAGACTCCCAAACAGCCCTACGCTTCCAATATTCCAAACTCTCCACATCTCACAGATCTCCAATTGAATCAAAAACTTCAAGCTAGATGTAATTCTAAAAATCTGAAAGTACATAGAAAGAATGACCCGTTGGGTTCAATTAATCGTCGTCGCGCATTCCTGGGTGCAAAATGCAGCGGTTGGATACAGCAAAGTAACTTTTGAAGTCGTCGACGAAGTCCGAGCAAATGGCAGAAAGCGTCCCAGCGACGAAGGCACTCGCAGCTTTTTCCTTGCGCTTTCTTTGTTTCTTGCCGGGCGTTCTACGGCCACGTGCACCGCAAAGGTGGAAGCTTTTTGAGACGATCGTAAGAGATCCCGCGACCCTTTGAGAGACCGTGAACCCGAGCTTTGAAATAAACTACATTCAAATGATTCCGTGGCATTCGAAGGGCTGGTACTTCCTCTTAACGTTATCCGTCTTAATTTTTACGAACGCTTAATGAGACTTGGCGCAAACGAAGTTCAACCCCTTTGGCACGCGACTGATCTTGAACGATTCGACGATCTTGCTCGGCAAAACGGTATTTTCTTCGATTCTTCGCTGAACGTTTGATACGTAAAGAAGTTGAAGATATTCGAGTTGCTTTATAGGGCTTGATGCTTAATGAGTCACGAATAATGAATACCGTCGCTGTACCGATATTATCGGCCTCGATGAATTCGGCCGAAGGCCTTGAAGAGGTTTCAATGCCTCACTGTCCAATCTTCCTTCACTGCATTAATGTAAAGAATTTGTGAGGTTCGTTGGTCTAAACTGAGGACATTCTTTTAATACATTAACCATTGAGTCGTCCATTTCGGTCTCACCACATAACCAAGATCTTTGTTTGTACTGAAAGTATCATGTATCAAGATTCTAAGTACCGACGAATTTTTATCGATTCCACTAATTTCTGATAGCAGAACTGAGTCTGTTGGACTCAGTTCACCAGTTAGGTTTTATCCATTTTATTGCCTAATCAGCACATGAACACAGTCGTCGAAACTGGGTGTTTAGGAATGCTTGTAGAATTTGATATTTGACCGAACATCGTTAATGCTGCTCTCACCGATGCAGCGAAAGAAACAGGATAAAAAGGAAGCTCGAAGCGGGTCCATAATAAGCCACGCAGCGGAACAAAAAGTTCATCCAGTGGTTCGGCAAAGCGCGCATCCTGCTCGCGAGCCAGGAGCGGAGGCAAAAAAAGAGGAGGAAGAGGACGAGGAAACCGAGTCACGTTGCATCGAAAGCAACAACAATAAAGTGTCCAGCGGCGAGGACGGCGACAACGGTCGGAGACAGGTCGGGAAGGGAGTATCGGGTAATAATAAGAAGAACAGAGACGAAACAGGTTTGCAGAAGAATAGGCAGGATCTTCTGGGCGTAGAAGGAAGGCAACGGGAAACGAAGGAGCCAGAAACTCGAAGTATAGCTTCGCTTCAACCCTCTCGCGACTACGCGAAGAGACCACGAGAAGTTTTTCAGGGCCCTTCGAAGGTGGGGGTCGGTGGCAGATCGGCAGTTTGAAAGAAGGGAAGAACAGGCGGGTGGGTGGTGTAACGAATGGTCTACCGAGCAAATAAAGAAGAAGAAGCAGAAAAAAAGAAGGAAAAAGAGAGAAGCAGGGAAAGACCAAGGGGATGATGTACCGAGCCTATGCAATCAGCAGCCGCCGATTGTTTGGCGCCCGAGCGCAACGATCCGTGTACGGCACTGTCTGCCTTTTCGCGCTACCACTGCACAGCAGCAATGCTTGACGATTATGCACTCGCTTCTCCGCCGCCAGATAATTAGGAGTTAATTAACTAATGGCCCTTTATGCCAGTACCCTTCTTGCAAACCACCCTCTCTCTCTTCTTCGCGGTTCCATTCTCGATGCCCGATCCTCTTTCTCCTTCCTCCTTTTTCTCCCTCGCTTTTTGCTTCTTCCGCGCGTTACCTTCCTTCTCTCGTGTCCCCGCGTTCCCCGGGCTACCATCGACCCCTTTAGACCCCCTCGTTCGCTCGTGTCTCTCCACTCCTCGTCATTTTCCAATTCCCCTCGCTGGCACCAGCGTCCTTTGTGCTCCTCCTTAGACACGGAGGAACGTTTGAATGCCAACCACCAGCCCGCCACGGTCCAAGGGCTTTTTTGTCTTACCACCGAGGTTTGATATGTCGTAATGGCATGACGCACCGCGACGCACTCGCCGAAGAAAGGAACAAAATGATACGCGCTCCCGTCGCTCCTCTGATTTCGCGGGCCCTTTGTAGTCGCTCTTCTAGGCCGAGCATGCACGCAACAAATAACGCTCTGCTTTCCAGGAAAATACGAGCCACCTTTCTATCGAACTATGATGCTCTGATTGAAAGTCGCCCTGAATTTGACTTGATACTCAAACGAATCACATTGTTTCGAATTATTCTTTTTAATGCAAATTGCATAGTCTTTCAAGTCTGCTGCGTATAATATTTTTCTGGATTGTTGTTGGAATAAATGAGTGGCTAGCAAGTGACTTCGATTACCAGTACGAAATACCCACGACTGAATTAAGCTCAGAAAATGTACGTCCGTAAAAATTTGTAATCGAGGCAAAACGCATCCGAAAGGCAGTTCAAAAGTAAAAGTACTCGAGAGCCATCGAGAGGATCGATGGCGGCGAACAATGAGTCGTTCGTCTCCGCTCGAAAATCCTCTCCTTTCCCGCGAACGGTTCGATCAGAATGCACTCGCATCCCCAAGCGGGACTGCGCGACGTCGCGCGAGCAGCGAACACGCGTCGGCCACCGTCATCAAGCCGTTCCATTAGCAATTTCGTAATTATGAAATTGAATGGGCGACTCCCTGTAGACGCGATCGGTGCTTCTCATTCATCGGAGGTGAGAACGCGAAGCACCCTGTGGGCCGTTCGCGAGAAAACGCTGACAAAGGGTGGCAGAGACGGAACGACGCCGCTTTACAAAATATCCGACGCCTACGCGAGCTGCGACATTGTGCAGGAATTCCCATGCGCGGATGCACGCACGATTTGTGCGGCAGGGTACCCGAGAAAGCTTCTTATGAGAAACATCGAGAAAGGGGTGAAAGGACGAGCCAGACAAGAAACTCGTTCGCGGCTGCCTTTTGTTTCGCGTCATCGCGCCGGGGACAAGCTTGATTAATCGAAAAGCATCTTGATCCTCGCGAGCCACACGAGGGAGAGGTGCCTTATTGGCGAGACGATTCAGAGACATCGAGTAGCGTGATTTTCCTCTTGTAATCTCGCTTAGCTTTCAACGCTCGCGTCAACGTCGGCCATTGTTCGACTCGCGATATCGTAACGAGCTGCAACAACAAATTTAACCGATCGTGCAAGATTCTACGAATGGAGAAAAAATATTGTGTGTTCTCTTAAATGTCTCTTGCCATAAGGTATAAAGTTTCTGATTTGTCACAGAAAAAATTTAAAAAAAAGGTTCTTCAATGTCTAAGTAAACCGTAGATAAATTTCCGTTGCTAAAAATACGCACGTAAAATAGTTTTGATGGGAAGCTATTTAGATAATAATTGTTATCCAATATACTTATTGCGTAATCCCGCGACGCGTTTGTCGACAAGCGACTTACAGTAAAGTATGTAAATTATGTACGTACTTAGACCGGATTTGATAAAAGTACTTTCAGGCTTCTTTAACGGGAACGCAGCCATAGATGGACATTACCGATGTGGATTGAGGTCACGCGAATGTCCGATCGCACGTAATAATTTCCTCGTTTCCGTTTCGCCTGCTGAATGGTTCATCGATTGAGTCGAAAATATTCGAAACGTATTTCAACTGTGACGCGAAGGGGAAATAAATTTTATTGAACAGGAATTTATTGTTGCAGCCGAGAGGAAGACTTCTTTGGGCAAGGATTGGCATGGCGCCTGTCTGCGATGCGAAAAGTGTAACAAAACCTTGACACCTGGCAGCCACGCGGAGCACGAAGGCAAACCATACTGTAATCATCCATGTTACGCTGCCTTGTTTGGTCCTGGAGGTGGGTAATACGAATGCGATTAATATCGCGCTCTTGTTATATTGCCAAGGGTGGTTGCAATGGAGTTGTTACAAAGACCGAAATCTGGTTAATGTCGACATTCGGTGAGGGTCCGAATGTACAAGAATGTAATAAAATATTCGGTTTTTCACCGACGTATTTGGTATATGTCGACATTCTCCAATTTCGGTCTTTCACGGTAACAGAGTGATTGCAAGGTGTACGGAGAGTATGCTAGAGAGAGGCTCATGTGAAAGTAATGGCAATATAAGATTTTAATGTAGTAGTAATAGTATTTGTAATCAAAGTTATAATCAAATTTTTGTTACTTCTAGGTTTTGGCCGAGGGGGTGCAGAGAGTTACGTTTACAAGAAGTGAAGAGGACTATTCGACGTTACATACTTATTGTTAATAAATTCGCGTTACCTATTGTTTAGGTGTTACATTTAATTGTAGACATTTACCTGTGTATAAAAGTGAGTTTACACATGAGAGATGTGAGGGATCTATTATGAAATAAATTAAAAATTAGTAAATTCAGTTTCCAATAATTGCATCCAATGGATGTTTCTTTTCGACATCGTCAGTGTGTTATACTATGATATGAACATTTTGTACAATATCCCAACTGATGATTTTGTTAAATAAATACTTGTACCGATAAAATTTTGTTTTTGGTGACTCGAAGAAAATTTCTTGTCATTGTCTAGTCATTCCCTATATTATCGACGAGATAAGTTTAATGTGAATTGTATTAAACATATAATTTACATATTTGGACTCACTGAATGTATTAGAAAGAGCTTAAAATCAATATTAATAAATGTATGAGAGATATATAGCATATTAATTAATAAAATCAATGTAAATTGGGTTTTTAAAAAAATGGTACTAGTAGCGCCATCTCTTCAACAAACAGGTTGAACTACACACATTTGGAACTGTACTTTAATTAGTTCTCACCTTGTACCACTAGATGGCGCCACATAAAACTGAACCCTGTAAGATACATAGGATTAGATTGCGAATGATTAAAAACTTATCATAGTTTAGTAAAGTCTAAACAATACAAAGTTAATTGTTCTTGCACTCCAATCTAATTCGGTTCATATTTATAGTCAATTGAGCTAATGAAATAAACTAAATTTATCAAATTAGTCGGAAACGGTACACGTGGCGCCATCTGGTGGTAGGAGGCGAGAACTAATTAACCTCCTGTTCCAAAAGTGTGTAGTTCACCCTGTTTGTTGAAGAGATGGCGCCACTAGTACTATTTTTTTTAAAATTCAATTTCCATTGATTTTACAGCTTAATTTACTATAATATGTATTAAATTATATCGGAGTGTAAGTCTAGTTCGCTTGGGAATGCATATTATAGTAAATTAACGCAAAATAATCAATATTTATCGATTTTTATGAAAATGGGACAAGCAGCGCCATCTCACCGGCCAACAGGGTGAAGTACACACTTTTGAAACTGTAGTTTAATTAGTTCGAGTCTTCTAACGCTAGATGGCGTATTTGTCGGTCCACAAAAAGAAATTTTTTGAAATATTAGAATTTATGACATTAATTACACTATTAGACCACTGTGCAGGTAGAATTGTTCACATAGAATAATTTGCTACAATCAGTTATCCGTAGAAATCATGTAATTTATAAATAAAGGCAATTTTTTATTTGAGGAGTCTGAGGATGCACTGCAAGATGGCGACAAGTGCATCGTTATTAGTTTAATGATGCAAAATTAAAAATTGCATAAAAATTCAAACTTGCTCTTTCTTGCTAGTTAAATTAATAATTCTATGGAATTCTAATATTCTCCTGTACTAACATTTACATGTACTCAAATATGAAGTTCTAATTTAAAATAGAACTCCAAAGTAAGCAACTCCAAATTGATAAATGCAAATAGACAGAAATAAATATCTCCTTAAACATAAAAACCACAGATGCTCCAAAAATTTGAAAGAAAAGTCACAAGAGTGATGTTTCATATAAACCTCATATTTATTTAAAAAGGATGTACAGAGTTTTGTTTGCAAGTATCAACAGCGAGACTCGGCAAGAGCGGCGCACAGAACAAGAATATCACACGGGATGAAATGACAGCTTAATAGAAAAAAAAAGAAATTTGTTTGTTGTCTCGATTAAAAAGTTAAAAATCCACGAGGCGCAGCATTCAAGCCGAAATCTCGTTACCACGATTGTTCGCAATTGCGGGTGTACATCCCTTGAATGCTGCGCGAGAATGTGTTTTTACGTTTCGAACATCATCATATCGTGCTCTCCTCGTTTTTGCTACTCTTTATTATTTTTTCTCCTTGCTTTTTAGACTTCCATCCTATGGAAGCACGAAACGTTACTGCGATATTGCTCTCTCTCTTTCTCTCTAAACGGATTTCTTTGGCAAAACTTATTACACATAGGTCGTCGTTACAATTAATAAATAATAAAGGTATTAAATAATAATATAATAATAATGATGATAATATAATAATAATAATAATCATGATAATAATGAGAATAGCGATAATAGCAAATAGAATAAAAAATAAAAATAATAATAATAATAATCGTTAATAATCATCATCGTTACGATACTAGCAAATAGATTAACAATGTGAAGTACGCATTATTCAATAATTATAATTCCGACATGTGATCGCAATGAACGCCCGAATTCGTTTGACTGAACTTCGTGACCGTTGAACATTATTTTTTAATAAACGCTTTCCTTCCTTTTTACACGAAACAAGAAAAGATAAAAGAAACGTTTCCCTCTACGAGGTATTGCGACCGGAGAAACAGCGTGAACACTCGAATTCGCAGCCTCGAACTACCAACAGGATCGCAATTTCCCTCTCTCTCTTTTCTCTGTCTGTACCATTTTCTTCTCTTCAGTCGCCGCTTTCCACGTCCCCGTTCTTCCTGCACACGATTTTCACGACACGCAACGCTACGATACGACAATTCATAAACAGCAATTAGTCAGCGATGAGAGAAATCGCGGTTATTAACGATCCTTCGTCTGTTCGCGAGAAACGTAATCGCATGGGTTAGCCTGAAGAACGTAACTGGGAGAAAGGGACGAAATATTCTCGCGATCGGCGAACAGAGATCGATTCGAACGAGAAATTCGGAAATCTTGTCTGAGGTTCGGAACGATCTGAATCGTTGCGAGCACGCCTTGGATCGACCTTGTATCGTTTTCTTTTTCGTAAGTCTCGTATAAAATGCCGATTAAAAAGTAACGACGGAACGGTGAAAGACCGAACGAGTCGTTAGCTAAATGTTCGAATAAATACACGTTCCAACAGGATGCGGTTAAAAGAAAATCTAAGAAAAATCGACGTGCTTCGAAAATATAATTCGCTAATTACGAGATAACTGTTTAGCGAGCAAATCCATTTCACGGTGGATCTCTCAAGCGAGACGCGATGCGTTGATAATTCGCCGAGGCTGATATTTATGAAGAATAACTAATTAAAACGCTTTGACATATACATTGCACTGTTTTCGTTTGCATTGGTTAAAAGGGCGAGTGTAATAAAAATTAATAGCGAATTCATTGAATTAAAAAAAGAAAAAACGCGTTTGAATTCACGCAGGTGCAGTCACCCGAACGCGACTGCGCACGCGTCGCGCGCATGCTGCGCGAACCGAGATGCGCGTGACACGAACGCGCGCGAATTTCCTTATTAAGGTTACGAATTACCATTTCTGACCGTTAATCATAAAGAAATCGCGATCACGCAACTTCTACATTAAAATCTACCTTTGTTGGACGTTAATTATGGGTTCCGTGATAGTTTTTCTTCTTTTTTGATACGTTACGCTCGACGAGAAACAGGAAGCGACTCGACTTCCGTGGTGCACGATAGTGGCAACTGCGCATTGTTCACGGAACGCGGGAATCAGTATGATCAATCGACTGTCAAAAAACGGAATCGTTTCGTTTATCAAATCAATTAGAGGAAATATTTATACAAATATAAAAATGAGATGACATTGTTGATGGATAATGCGAGAAAAGACATTGGAATAATTAGAGTTGGGGACCGTCACGCGTTATATCGCTACACGATAGATTGCCACGCGTTAATTTCCTGCGCGTGGTATTTTCACATGTAGCATACGCACTAATTCCCTAACGCGATATCGCTACTATCACCGAATGTTAGTACGCATCTGTATTACACCTGTTGTATCACCACGCGTGATATCGTCCCTACTTACGCCAATGAGAAGGTGTATTTCTCGAGATTACAAGGAACGCGAAGCGACTTCGTTTCGCCTTTCACGCTTTCCCGCTTCCGTAATTTGCATTTCCTCGTTGCCGATTTTTTGCGCGTCCACGTCGATCCTGTGCGTCGCTCGCAAACTCGCGTTCGTTTACATTTATGTGCTGTTTAAAACCGCCATAATAAAACTCTGCCTTTGCCTTAGCTACGCGACGCGCACGCAATTCTCATTCGGCAATCCGTCTGTGGTCTTTGGTTTCTACAAAAAATATATATAATATCCTTAACAGTAATGATCGTTACGTCGATTCTTGATTTAAAAATCTCAATAAACTTATCCGTTATTACCTACTATATATACTTGTATCGTTTTTTGGGGTGGTACGGGGCACAGGTGGGGTTAGGTTCGGGTTAAGGGGTCGTCGTGCTTACTAGGAGAAAGAACGTGCCGTTTTCTTTTTTTTCTTTAGGGGCAGTTGACTTTGTCTCTGTTATACACCAGTGTATGTATATATATATATATGCATATATATATATAGATTTTTCTTCTTCACTTTATATATATGTACACGTTCTAACGCCGTCGGTGACAAATGTGCCCGTCACACTCGCGGAGACGAATGTCCGGGCACATTTGGAGGGACGACCGTTCGGGGGCGTAGCGTAGAAATTATGCTAACTGAGGATCGTTAAATTAAACTAGCTACGATTTTTACGCGCACTCTACCAGAGTACCGACGCTGTCGGCCACGAACGCGGGAAGTTCGAATTTCTCGATCGCGTGTCTCGACAGCGTCATCTTTCAGTGTCGCTGGACCAGACACTCGTCGAGTAATTGCCGCTCGAATCACGAAAAGTTCATCGATATCGACGAAGCAACCTTCCCACGAGCGGAAGAGACTTCTCGTCGACGTAACACGATCGTCATCTGAAAAACGGACGATGTCAACGGCGCTCGATGGGACGTCGTGCCTCTTGATCGATACGATAGCGATCCGATGATCTTTCGACATGATCTGCAAAGTCTCTATCTCTCTCGCGATTGTCGCATCGATAAATGCGAATTTGTCAGTGCCACGCTGTGTACAGGATTCTGATGGCAACGCAACGTCTGGACGCGAACGGTGTCTGGCCAGTTCGTCCGGGCGTATTGTTTTCCCAAGCGGAAATTAGTCATGTCGGTGTTCCCGTTGTCGATCGCTCTCCTCGAAACCGGTTAAAAGAGATCATTGTTGAATTTCAGCGTGGTTCCTCAGTGATATGGCGTCCGAAGTCGTTGACTGGTGTTCCCACTCCAGGAAAACACTTTGCCCGAAGATGGTCTCCTGTATCGTCGTTCAATCAGGCCAGATAGAGATCGGTCGGCGTGGTAGTGTGGTCCGGCTTGGTGCATGCACTGCCGGTCGGCGAAGCCGCACTC